CCCCCCCCCCCCCCCCCTCTGTAGCGCCGCCCCTGCGTTTATGTTTTTGCTTTTATTCAATTATTCTCCAGATCTGTTGCGAAATCTCGCAGGGAAAGACCCTAGCCTGAAGCACGGGGGTGAGTGAAGGTAATACCCTGGGTACGAAACCACCGGAACAACCGGAACGGCCGGAACAAGAATCGGAAATGACCGGAATCACCGAAACCAAAATGGAACACGAGCGGAACAAAGTAGTAGAACACGACCGGAACGGTAGTTAATTAGGTCTCATACAGACAGTACATCTAGTTAAACATTTAAAATTGGCTACTACTTCACGGATTTTAGTGAGCTCATGAAAATCACGCTGTACACATCTCGCTTTTCTCTTCTCTAATTTTCTTAATATGTCCCTCGCCTTTAGAATCTACAAAACAATTAGACGGCCTAGTTTTCACCTGATTGAATTTACAGTCGTGCCAATAGAAGGGTTCCGAAAAATGTTGACCAGTTCATTTCCTAACTTGAAGGAACACCTCTGAACAATTCCTCAATAATTTGAAAAGTTCCTTAAAAAGTTCCTAACTTCCTGTTTCATTGACCAATCAAATTTTATATTTTATTTTTGAGCAATCTGATTGGTCAATGAAACAGGAAGTTAGGAACTTTTTAAGGAACTTATAATTTTCAAATTGTCGAGGAATTAGTCAGACTAGAGGAACTCCTCGAAGTTAGGAAATGAACTGGTCAACATTTTTCGGAACGATTCTATTGGCACGACTGTAATAAACAAATTGTACTGTCTTCATGGAAATTTGAAAAGAAAATAGCTTTGTTTCGTTTAGCTTTTCCATGCGGCTTCCACGCTTGCCGTACCCTGGATTCCAGAGCCTTTGACAGTAAATAATAAATTGAAATGTCGCGAAGGCTCTGGTTCAACGGGGCGATTCTTTGATTAAACCGCGCCAATCACAAAACAGAATTAGTGGTTTTAGTACAGAATTTGGTTTTAGTTTAGAATCGCCCCGTTGAACCACAGGGGGCAGAGGAACGATCGTGTTTTGTTTTACTTTAAATAAACAATCGAATGTTATCGAATGTTACCTTGTTATCTAAATATCATCTTTTGCAATTAATTGAATTCATCCATCAATTAATTCCACTTAATTCAAGATATAAAAACATCACACATGTATATTAAGTTTATATATTTTCAAATTCGAAGTTTTGTTTTGGAACTCGTGTATAACCGCAACCCACTACACTGCAGGCTTGCATTGCCCGAATCACAAACGAAGTTTGCTTCGGGAAACGATGTGCACCCGAGGGAGGGACGAAAGAAAATTGAGAAAGGGAAGAAACTTCCAATATTGCATCGTTGCATGTGCACCGCAACAACTAGTGACGGAAGTGACGTACAGGAAGTGATTCCACTTAAATTCCGTTGCTAATTATATTCTGTTTTTTAAAAAACGACAGGTGTGGAGGGAAATTTAAATATTTATATTGTAGAATGGACAGATCTATTCTTAAACGACACGCGTCCCATATAGAAATAAACAATAAATTTAATAAAAAACCAAAGTTGTACAACAGAGAAAAACATGTTATTGTTTCAAATTGGTAAGATGTTTGAAAATAACTGAACACTATAATATTAATTTAAACCAGTATAAAAACGTATTTCTAAATATATACTAGCTAAATATATACTATTAATTTGATATACCTTAATATAGTATGTTTCTCATATATAATAACATTTCATACCTTCGCTACTTTAAATAAAACCACTTCCTGTTATGCGCAATTTAACTCTTTCGTCACTTCCGTCACTAGTTGTTGCGGTGCACATCATACGAAAATAGCGAAATATATACCAGCATTTTATTCGTTATTTTCGTAGGTTTAACTACTATTTTCCCAGATTTCTTTCGTTAAATATTGAGACTATATCCTTTCTATGTCGTGTGCATAATATGGTGTGTTTCTGTAGAATTTTAAGCGAATTATGAGGTTTCGAAAATGATGTCCGAATTCTAAATTTGGAAGTTTCGTCCCTTTCATTATATATAGCTTGTAAACAATCTAGCGTAAGCGTGCGCGCCTGCAGTAATTTGGCGTGAGGTCCACGTGCAAGTTATATTACTTCATTTAACTTCAACCAATATAATATAGTAGTTATTTAATGATATTTTTGCCTTTTTTTGCTGCAAAAAAATTATTTTTTAAATAACAAGGTCAGTTCCTCAGCCCCCTGTGGTTGAACCAGAGCCTTCGCGACATTTCAATTTATTATTTACTGTCGAAGGTTCTGGAATCCAGGGTACGCTTGCCGTTACGATAACGTAAATTCGTAAAATCGCGCGGGAAATACAAGTCACGTTGTAACAAGTGCTTAGACTTAGTAATAAGGCCGGGGGAGGTCAAGGAGGTGGAATTCCGTGTTCGATTTTGGTTTCGGTGGTTTTGGTCTTTTCCGATTATTGTTCCGGTCGTTCCGGTCGTTTCGTTCCGGTTGTTCCGGTGGTTCCGTTCCGGTTGTTTCGGGTTAAAGGTTGCAATAATTTTTGTTTTTGTAAAGTGGAAACACCACATGAATTCTTTCTGGCGCCATATTTTGATACGACTACACGTGTTGCTTGGAAACTGTGTCTGTGAATATTCTCAATTTTATGATCAGAAATTCTGTAAGAACCGAAGTATTATAAAGATTCAATAAAGAAAGACTCGAGGGAACAGTTGGGTGATATTTTTATCGATATTTAACCGTACGGGGAAAAGATCAAAAGCTGAAACCATGTCTACGAAATGCGAGGTTTGTAACAAGGTATTTTCTACGAAAGGAAATTTGGTGGCACAGAAACGAGCACATACTAGAGAGAAACCTTATGAATGTAATGTTTGCAACAAAAGATTTTCGCGGTCAGACGACTTAGCTAAACATGAAAGAACACACACTGGAGACAAACCTTATGAATGTGATGTTTGCAACAAAAGGTTTTCGTGGCCAGACGGGTTAGCTAGCCATGAAAGAACACATACTGGAGACAAACCTTATGAATGCGATGTTTGCAACAAAAGATTTTCACACTCGAGCACCCTAACTAAACATAAGAGAACACACACTGGAGACAAACCTTATGAATGCGATATTTGTAAGAGGAAATTTTCACAATCTGGCAACTTAGCTTCCCATAAAAGAACACACACTCGAGAGAAACCTTGTGAATGTGATGTTTGCAACAAAAGATTTTTGCATTCAGACTACTTAGCTGTTGATAAGAGAACACATACTGGATACAGACCTTATGAATATCACATTTGGAACACAAAATTTTCATAATCACACAGTTTAACACGACATAAAATATCAGCACACAAGGTAAAGCAGTGTTTTGAGTGTGTTAAATGTAAGAAAATATTCACAGAACGTAAAGGTCTCAAACGTCACTGGAGAGTACATTCAAAAGATGGCTAATTATTATTCTGCAACAGTTGTGGCAGGGAAATTATTCAGTCACAAGGCCAAGGACATGCTAATGAGAAACTGAGTGTTGATCATTTTGTCTGTGATAAATGCGACAAACAGTTCCCTGATATTGAAAGTTTATATCAGCACAAGGCCAAAGACCATCATACGTCCTACCAATGTGGTATTGGTTATTGTGCAACTGGTATTGGTTATGTCTGTTGTGTCTGTGATGCCGAGTTTGAAATTGCAACTGAACTTGAAGATCATACCGGTATGAGAATGCATAACAATGTGCTTCCCCACTAGCAAGACAAGATAAATTGATACTATTTTGGGTTTATTAGGCTGTTGCAATATGAAAAACTCAATATATTGATATTCAAACAAAAATATCGACTATATTGAATTATGAAATTAGAAAACATAGTTCAGTCAGCCTGCATATTTTAGGGGTTCCGGTTCTTTGTTGACATGCACAATTGATAAACGTTAAACCAATCACAGCACAGGAAAAATTCAATTTCCCCAGAGCCAATGCCATCCTAGCCCGCGCACAGGCATTGCTCTGGGTGCGAGATTGGCATGTATACCCACGTCACAGTGGGTGGAGCCTGGGTGCGAGCCTGCGATGTTGCACTGGGTGGATGGATTATAAATAGCCTATTATAATAACCCATGGTATTTCATGTAACCGAAAATTTGTATTATTATATTGTGCAGTTGGTTTTGAAAATAAAAAAATATTTGTTGCCAATGCCAGGGGGTCTCCCGTGGGCAGTTCAGGCCCACTGGTGTATGCACCCCACGTAGGTCTGTCTTGCACCCCCGTAGAGAAGTCCAGCTCCCCAGCCGAAAAAGATTTGCTTGTCCACACATTTTCTGGTTTTCCTATAGCGATTAGAGGAACTTCCACTGTTAGCAAGTCGCAAGTGTCGATTTCTTGAAGATTGATTTGTGAGCTCACTGAGTACTCGAGAATACTTGAGTTAAATATTAATATCATGGTTGAATGTGTAAACATGTCGAGAATGAGATTGTTATAAAGTCACATTTTCAAATATACTGTACTTTAACAAGCAAATTTACTGCACTGTGCTACAACAACTGTCCAGTCACGCCTCAAACTGAAAATTATTGACAAGTTGCTACCCCTATAATATTTTTCTACAATCTCGTACCCAGGGCCAGAGTCATGCCAAGCACCTAACCTGCGAACGGGCATACTCTGGGTACAAGATTGATTTTCCTGCTAATATTCAATCTCTCTCTTTTATCGTATCCCATAAAATATTTCACCTTCCGTTTATAGTTCCTATAATCGTAGTTTCCATAGTTTGTTACATATTTACTGTCAATAATAGCAAAACCTGGTTGATAGGAATGGAAGCGCGTGGAAAATACAAGGGAAATTCGACGTTTGGAGCGAAGATTCTTCGTTTGGGAGTTAGTAGACAAACTTCTCGACGAAGAACTAACTTCCCGACGAAAGAACTGCCCTCGAAACGTCGAATTTCTCCCTGTATTTTTCAAATACATCACTATCGGCCATTTTGTTATATAAGAGTTACCATCTAGCGCAAACATGGCTTCCACAATAGTGAAATATAAAACATGAAACACTGATTGGTTTGGCAAAACAAATCGCTGCGAGGAAGATGTAGCAGTTAATTCTGCTCAAAAGAGACCAACCGTACCATGAGGGTGGGTCAATTTAATTTTTCGTTTATGTTTTTGCTTTTATTCTTCGGTATCTGTCGCGAAATCTCCGATCTCGCACATCAATCATTTTTGTTTTTGTAAAGTGGAAACACCGACCTTTGTGGGCGCCATATTTTCATACTCGTGTTGTTTGCAAACTGTGTCTGTGAATATTCTCATTTTTCTGATCAGAAATTGTGTAAGAACCGAAGTATTATAAAGATTCAATAAAGAAAGACTCGAGAGAACAGTTGGGTGATATTTTTATCTATATTTGACCGTACAGGGAAAAGATCAAAAGCTGAAACCATGTCTAGGAAATACGAGGTTACAAACAAGGTATTTTCAAAGAAAGGAAATTTGGTGGCACACAAACCAACACATACTGGAGAGAAACCTTATGAATGTGATGTTTGCAACAAAAGATTATCACAGTCAAGCGATTTAACCGTTCATAAGAGAACACATACTGGAGAGAAACCTTATGAATGCGATGTTTCCAATAAAAGATTTTCAAAGTCAAGCGAGTTAACCGTTCATAAGAGAACACACACTGGAGACAAACCTTTTGAATGTGATGTTTGTAAAAAAAGATTTTCCCGATCAAACAACTTGGCTTTACATAAAAGAACACACACTGGAGAGAAACCCTATGAATGTGATGTTTGCAACAAAAGAGTTTCACACTCAAGTCACTTAGCGGTTCATAAGAGAACACACACTGGAGAAAAACCTTATGAATGTGATGTTTGCAAGAAACGATTTTCACAGTCTAGCCACTTAGCAGTTCATAAGAAAACACACACTGGAGACAAACCTTATGAATGTGATGTTTGCAACAAAAGATTTTCGCGATCCAAAGGCTTAGCAGTTCATAAGAGAACACATACTGGAGAAAAACCTTATGAATGTGATGTTTGCAACAAACGATTTTCATACTCAAGTCACTTAGCGGTTCATAAGAGAACACACACTGGTGAAAAACCTTATGAATGCGATGTTTGCAACACAAGATTTTTACGATCAGACGTCTTAGCTGTTCATAAGAGAACACACACTGGAGAGAAACCTTATGAATGCGATGTTTGCAACAAAAGATTTTCGCAGTCACATGCCTTAACTTTACATAAAAAAGCACACACTGGAGACGAATCTTATGAATGTGATGTTTGTAAGAAAGGATTTTTGAAGTCAAGCAACTTAGCGGTTCATAAGAGAACACACACTGGAAACAAACCTTATGAGTGTGATGTTTGTAAGAAGAGATTTTCACAATTGAGCACCTTAAGTAGACATAAAAGTATGCATACTGGAGACAAACCTCACAAATGTGACATTTGCCACAAGAGATTTTCAGAATCACACAAGTTAACACAACATAAAATATCAGCACACAAGAGAAGTCAGAGTTTTGAGTGTGATAACTGCAAGAAAACATTCACACAACGACAAAGTCTCAAACGTCACTGGAGATCACGCTTGAGAGATGGCTTATTATTGTGCCACACCTGTGGCAAAGGAATTATTCAAGGTCAAGGACATGCTAATGAGATACTGAGTGATGATCATTTTGTCTGTGACAAATGCAACAAACAGTTCCCTGATATTGAACGTTTATGTCAGCACAAGGCCAAAGACCATGGTACATCCTATCAATGTGATTTGTGTAAGGAATTAGAAGCAAGAGAAGCAACTGGTATCGGTTATATCTGTTGTGTCTGTGATGCCGAGTTTGAAATTTCCACTGAACTTGAAGATCATATGAGTATACATGACAATGTGCAGCCCCACTAGCTAGGGAAGATAAATTGAAACTATTTTGGGTGCTGTTGCGATATGAAAAAATCAATATATCGATATCAAACAAAAATATCGACTATATCGAATTATGAAATTAGAAAACGTAGTTCAGTCGGCCTGCATGTATACCATGTCACACCACTGGGTAGATGGATTATAAATAGTCTATTGTAATAATAACCCATGGTATTTAATGTAACCAAACATTTGTGTTATTATATTGTGCAGTTGGTTTTCAAAATAGAAAGTATTTGTTGCCAATGCCAGGGGGTCTCCCGTGGAGGTTCATGTGGCTCACTGGGGTACACACCTCACCTGGTGCTGTCTTGCACCCTTGTTTTCCATACATTTTCTGGTTTTCGAATAGCGATTAGAGGAACTTCTACTGTTAGCGATTGTTGATTTCTTGAATATTGATTTGTGAGCTCACTAGAAAATATTCGAGAATGGTTGAATTAAATATTAATATCATGGTTATCATGAATGTGTAAACAAATCGAGAATCAGATTGTTTAAGGACCATTCATTATTTATGACTGGGGGTGGGTCTTGGGGTATTTTTGACCGAAAAAGGGGGGGGGCACCTAAAAATATTGGTTCAGAAGGGGGGGGGGTGTCCAGTTATTGATTATTGTGATATTATAGTGGAGAAACATTTGACATGTAACGATTATTGCTATCACAGGAAGCGAGCAAGGCAGCAAATTTAATTCATGTATAGCTAGCAAAATTCTCAATTTTAATCAACAGATAGACCCAAAATGCAATGCACAAATACCCAAAATGCAATGCGCACAGCTAATATCATGAAAAATAATTGAACACTTACCTTATAACTTTTGCCTAAACTTGCCATAAATTTTTGTCATATTTCAATTATGTACATTTTAATCAAACAAATATAATTAACTAGTAAGCGATGTAGCAACACTATGTCCAGCTTTCCAGGGAAAGTTTGGCATATACTATATACACTAGTTTATACTAGGTATTTTATTCATGGTTTAATTTAGTAAAGAGTTTGTCGGAGTCCGAGTCAAATCCGAGTCAAATGTCCAAGTCACTAGCTGTTTAGCGGTCTTTGTAGTTCATTGACGTAGTACGTATACCCTAACCCTACTCCTAACCCAGGGGCCGTACTAGCAACCGGCAGGGGCTGCAGCTCCCCCCCCCCCCAATCATTTGCTAATAATCATTCTTTTTTCCAAAATCATGCAGCCTTTATCATTTAAATAATATATCTAATAGCGGCTACATTATCCATGACAAACTGCAAAGAATGAAGATATTTCTTACTTTCCTGCAACTTATAAAACATATAGTTAATTAAATACGCCTTCACCCATTTAGTGCTACTAAATTGTAAATTTCGACATACTAAAATGCTGTTTTCTGACCATCTGAATTCTGTCAAATCTCCAAAGTCCAGGAAATGGCATTTCAGAGCAGGGATTATTCTAAGGAAATTTTATCGCTGCACAAAAGCGCGAAAATAATAAAATTTATATATATATATTTAGCGACATGTTAGGCGTTCTGACTGCCCTGCATGAGTATATGTACTCTGGTTCTGCAACTTTAAAGTTTACCCCATCCATGTCACTAATTATATGCAGGCAAATGAGTCAAAATGACCGCTAATGGAGCCCAAATCTGCATTCTGCATATTCTTTTTCATGCAAAAATATTCACATTTTCACATATTTTTTGAATTGCATGCAAAACACCAAGCAATATTGCTCAAGATCTAGTCTTACACTCTGTATGCATGAAATAGATCTTGTAACACAACTAACATTAGTATAACATTAGAACAAACGGGAGGACCTCCAATTCCTAAAGTTATACCCAAATGCATGGTTAATAACGTTCGTTCTCTAGCAAAACCTGATGCTGCTGTCTCTCTAAACGTTCAGTTGTGCACTAATAACATCGATATTTGTTTCGTTACTGAGACATGGTTAAACTCCGACAAAATTCTGTCAAGCCTCTGTGTCTCGGCAATTACGTTTTTGTCAGAAAAGACCGGTGTGACTCGCGTTCGGGGGGTGGAGTGGCTATTCTGTGTAGAGACTGGAAAGTTAAAAATCTGGATTTTGACAACAACCTTGAGTGTGTTTGGTGTGAAATTGTAACACTTAATACTAAATACTACGTAGCTTCAGTATATCACCCACCTGACCCCATTTATCCTGAGACTGAGTTACTAAATCGTTTGTCTGAAACTATTGAACAGATTCTTTATTCTGAGCCCAATGCAAGAATAATTATAGCAGGAGACATTAATCAATTAAAAACAAAAGACCTTATCAGTCAGCACAACTTGCAACAATTAGTCAAGAAGCCTACCCGAAATCATGAAAATTTGGATGTATTTTTAACCAACTGTCCACATCTTTGGGAAAAATCAAAGGTTTTTAAAGGTCTAGTAAGATCTGACCATTTGGTTGTCATGGTTTCTCCGCGACATGCTATAAGACTCGAAAGAAAGGATGTCTACTTTAGAGACGTAAGAGCTCATCGGAAGTTCAGTATGATGAGGAAATTGGAGACATGTGATTGGAGTCACATTCATAATTGCAATAATGTCAATGATACAGTTACTCTATTAAATGACACTATCACTAACATGTTTAATGACTGTTTCCCGTTAATTAAAGTAAAAATGTCAACACGTGACCCACCATATATGTCTCCTTTGATCAAACACTTATGTAAGATAAGGAATAAGAATACAGCGAAGGGAGTCAACAATGATCTTCAAAAACGTATTGATGAGCTAACACGTGGAAATCTTGTCCATTCCGTTGATGATGAGAATAGAAAAAATAGTTTTGGATCCAAAAAGTGGTGGGATACTGTGAATAGAATTACTGGCAGAAAAAGCAAGAACAGCAATATTAGCTCAGTCATCGATCCACAACATATTAACTCGTACTTTCAAAATGTAAACACGGATGCGAATTACATATCCCCCCAATTCATACCATTTCCTGTAGGCACTCGAGTTCCTACCATTGATGAGCCTACTGTTATAAGTTTTTTGACGAAACTAAAACGAACAGCGCCAGGTCCTGATGGGCTTCCATATTGGTTATGGAAAGACTTTGCACAACTTTTAGCGCCCATAATTACCAAATTGTTCAATCTCTCAATAGAACAACAATGTGTCCCTCTGATGTGGAAGCTCGCTAATGTGAACCCTTTACCCAAAGAATCTCCTTTGACAGAGTGTAATCGGTTGAGGCCTATATCGCTCACAAACATCATTATAAGATTATTTGAAAGGGTAGTTTATAAACAGGGGATTGCGTCTGCATTCAAATCCGTGATCGGATGAGATCAATTTGCTTGTAAAGAGGGAACAAATACTACCGATGCTCTGATTATGTGTTTGCATCATTGGCTCAAGTGGCTGGATGAAGGTGCAGACTCTGTTAGGGTAATATCATTTGACTATAAGAAAGCGTTTGACTCGGTATCTCATCACATTATTTTAAAACACTCGAAATTAACCCGTATACTTTAAACTGGATTATTAGTTTTCTGGCCAACAGAAAACAAAGAGTTGTTGTTGATGGCATAGAAACTGTTTATGTTGATGTTAACAAAGGCGTACCGCAGGGTACGGTTTTGGGTCCCTTTCTATTTTCGTTGATGGTTAATGATATAAAACCCATGGATGCGCAAAACAACCTTTGGTCAAATTTGCTGACGATATAACGACAAGTGCTCCAGTAAAATCAGGATCGGATTCTGCTGAGGCTGAGGTGGAAAGCATTCAGAATTGGTCGGAAGCAAGTCAAATGACATTAAATCTTTCTAAAACGTGGGAAATGGTTGTGCACGGTGGGTCTATGAAACCGTTACCGGCACCGATTGTAGGCATTGAACAAAAGAGCTGGTTGAAATTAATAGGTGTCACATTTCAGGAAAATCCATGTTGCTGGGATCTTCATATCGATGATCTTCTGTTAGAAGCTAGTGGGCGTATGTACATATTGAGAGTGTGTAGATGCTATATGGTTACTCTGCAGATCAGCTAAGCAAATTATTCGATTCGCTAATCATGTCACTCTTTTGTTATTGCATTGAAGTGTGGGGCTCTGCACTCCAAAAGAAATATTTGGTTCGTATAGACAAGTTTTTCCGACGGGCTTATCGTTATGGATATACGACATAGAGTATTAAGATATCTGAAGTGATCGAGAAGAGAGACAGAAAATTATTTAGCAAAAAATCGTATCGAATCCAGAACATGCCCTACATAAATTGCTTCCTGTGTGTAAACAAAGGATTTTAAGACAAAGGGAACATAACTTTATTTTACCTCAATCCTCTACCTCAATCCTTTAATCCCTCAACCCTTTATTTTACCTATTTCCTTCATAAAAAAATTTAACTATTTTTAACTTTCATATAATTAGTTAGGATACATCAATTTTTTAACTGTAATAATTAGGAATTTGACATCTGTAAAGTTGCACGTCTGTTGTGACCGTCTAGACAATAAAGACTTCAATAATAATAGTTTTAACTCGTTCAATATTTTTACCATTTATGTTAATTTTAATTATTTGACTTGGTTTTTTATTTGGAGATCTGAATAAAATAACTTTAGTTTTTGTAGTATTTAAAGATAATTCATTCACATTTAACCATTCAGCAACTTTATCAATTTCTGTTTGTATAATATTACTAAGTGTTTTTAGACACTTGTTACTATAAAATATATTAGTGTCATCTGCAAATAATATAAATGAAATCAATTTACTGCAATATCATTTATATAAAACAGAAAGAGCATTGGCCCAAGAATTGACCCCTGTGGGACACCACTCTTAATTACCATTTCTTTTGATTTAATTTTGTTGAATTTAACAATTTGTTTTCTATTTCTTAAATAATCTTGAAACCATAATTGAGTTATTCCCCGTATACCATAGTGATCAAGTTTTTGGATCAATATCTTGTGATCATGAAATCTGCTTAGCAGATTTCATGATTGTTACATTACACTGATATCGAAGGAACTAGACTCAGTTCCGAAATATCGCACACTCGAACCGTCCTGACCGCGTAGCTCAGTTGGAAGAGCATTGGGCTAGTATTCCAAAGGTCTTAGGTTCGAATCCCGCCGTGGCCAGGCATATTTTTCAAGCCTGCCCGGTGTGGATATACACTC